CTCCTGCAATGCATCTTCTGTTGAAAAGTTCTGCCCTTTGAATTTTGCAGCGAAAGCTTCCTCCACCATCGCGGACAGACCAACACATTCATAAGGCACCCAAGAACGTACTGCACATCCAAAGAGGTTGGGGTGAAATCTCTCTTCTCTACCAGCCACCAGAAATTCAACGTTTTGCTTGAAAAAATGGGTTTGAGCTGCTGAGTTCAGACCCAGCCTGCCTGGTCCAAGGTCCGTGCGTGCCGGCGCTGCGGCACAAATTCTCTTATCACCGGGAAAGTAAATTGAATAGTGGGAAGAAAACGGGATGGGCTGCAGGCATCGTGCCTTGCTCGGCTCCTCTTCCGCTGTGCAGAGAGGACGGGGCAGCCTGCAACCCCATTAGGTTTCACCAAAATAAGCACCAGAAGTGATTTAGTAGGTAAAAGCATCGCTAGACACAGAAATAAACCCACCAAGTCTTGTTCATGGTTTGGGGAGCGACGTAACGGCGTGGTGTGTGCCTCCCTACCAGCCTCCTTGCGTTTCCTTGCCCGGGTGGCATCTCACCATCACCCCCCCTCCCCGCAGTCGCCCTCTCCCTCGGGATGCTCCAGCATGGAGCAACCCAGGGATCCCGGAGCAACCTGGGGATCCCCAAGCACACTCTCCCCGCCCGAACACGTCACCCATCCCTTAAGGACATGGTGCCACTTGCACCAACCAGGGGACAGGGCTGCTCCTGTACACCGCACACCTAGAAATACTGGATAGCAAATTCAGCTAGTTAGAAGCCAGGCTCAAAACCTCTATTTTTGGCTTTTCCTATTTTTTCCTCTTCTTTTTTCCTCCTTTTTGCCATACATTGCTTGTCTTCTCTTCACCAGTCTCCAAAGAAGAACACCAAACCTTCATTTCTCCCTCGCCCTGTACATTATTAGGCCTGACTATAACAGGCCTGGATTTAAATGTATAATTACAACCATGACAGTAATTACAATAAAGCACTCCTTCAATGGAAAAAAAAAAAATAATTACAAAAAAAAAAATAAATGGGTTATAGTGGCTGGGGGATAACGGCAACTGGAACGGCAAGAGCCGCGGAATCCCCTGTTTCTTAGAGCTCCCAGCGCAGAGGACATGTTTCTCAATGCATCGAGGAGGTTACTGGCAAGACGACGGTGGCTACGTTACTTCTGCAGTGGCTTTTGGACGCCTTTAAAATACTCCTTCTGCTTCAGCATCTTCACGTAAACCATTAGTCAGCTCGCGGGAAGGCGTTGCTTTCCCCGTCTCCGAGCTGCTCGCAATTGTCCGTTCACCGATACAATAAAATAAGAAGAAAATACAAACGCCCGAGAAAAAGAAAACCCAGTGCAAATAAGAAAGTCATCCCGCTCTCCGATAGCGTCTGGTGTAGTGTGTGTCTGGCTTTGTCCTCCCAAGACATCTGCTGCCTGCTGTCTCCTGCCAGTTGGCCGGGGCAAGGCAGGAGGACGGCGTGAAAACAATACTAGCCCCCACTTGGATTCTTTTTTTTTTTTTTCTCCCCAAATTCTCTGTCTTCTTTCGAAAGCCAAACAATAACCCGGCGGGATGCGTTGCTGCTGCTTGAGCAATGAGTTCAGAAAAAGAAACCCCTAAAACAAAACCACGGCGGGGGAAGAGGGGTGGCACTTGGCGACGCGGCTGAAAAAGAAACATGCTTCTCCCTCCCCACCCCACGAACATATTCTCGAGCATGCTGGGGTTTGGTCTGTTGAAGGATTTAAATTGGAAAAGCTCTTGCCGGATCCCGTCAAGGTGCATGTCTTCTTCTCGTCCCTTCCCACCCCATCTTGCCCTGCCCCTCAAGCTGTCAGTTTTTGGATGGTCTTGTTGTAGTACTGCGTGATGGTGGGCGTCAGGGGGTTCCAGTTGTTGGCGTGCAGCTCGATGACCTCCAGCAGCAGGGACCGTGTCAGCATGGACTCGGAGGGACACAGCATCTTGTCGCGTGCTATCGCCAACAGCTCCAATAAAGCACTGTGCTGGCTTTCGTAGACACCCTCCACCCCTCCAGTCCTCCCCGGCTCAGTGTGGCGGGGGGGGGCGGCAAGGGTAAAAGGGTCGGGGGGGGCGGAA